TATATATACATATATATATATGTATATATAAAACATATAATTAACATATATAAAAACATAAATAAAACATATATATATATATATATATAACATATAATTCGTGTCAGTATTATATGAATATCATTTCATATATTAAAACTATATCGCTATTTATGGAGGTGCAACCTGCGAGCATTAAATAAAGGTTCTTAATTTTGTTGTGATTATGTTTTTATCTTCGATAAAGCATCTTTTTTTTTTTTAACTCGAAGCGTGATTTCCGCTCCATTTCTAAGAACGGAAAGACACAGTAAACGGATGAATTTTCTGACTCATGAATTCGTCGCGATAACGTTTCTCCGAATATTTATATCGTATAATAGATCGTGACAAATATAGTTCGTTGTCAAATTTTCCAGTTCAATTTGCATCGCGTATCCCAGTATCGTTGGTTGTTCGCAAACTTTTATTCACGGACTTTTCGACCTATATTGGCGGGGAAAATGTTCTGTGTTCGGCAAAGTAAGAGAGATTCTCTCCTCCGGAGTGTAAATCGTAAAATTACCCCTGTCGGAAGTCCCAATTAAGGACCGCAGGCTGATGTAGGTGATAGTTACACACATACTCGCGAGTGCGTCAGTACGTTATCTATCTGAAACTGAAAGTCAACTAGAAAAAAAGACCACAACACTTTGAGATTATTATTATAGAGAATCTCAATTTTAATCTTTTGAACTCCGTACGTCATGCTGCAGGTGATAACACAGATTTGCTGCAAATTTATATAAATTGCTTTAAAAATTATATTATAGTAACAATAATAAATAAATAAAAAAAACATTGAATTTTAGCGTTGTATATTAATTTATTTTAAACTAAGTACATGTGGACGTGCAACAACATTGAAAACAAATCGAGTTCGAAACATTAAAATTGTCTGATTCTTATAGTGAAAATCTTTTTGATTCTAAAGCGTTTAATGCTTTGCCTTATGATTTTAGTTAACCATTGATTATCATAATTGTGGCACCATATTAGATGCAAAGTATTGAAACATTATATGTGATTTGTAATTTCTAATTTTCTAAATTTTTAATTCTCGAATTAGAGCATTTAAATGTAAAATTCGAGCTCAAGTTGCACGGCACTGTTCTTTCTCCTTTTTTCAAATTGAAACCATAATTCGGGTGTGACTCGATATTTCAAATGGTTAATAATGTTATTT